AATTAAAAGGCATACCAATCAGAAAAGAAGAAAAAATTGTCCCTATTTATAGATGACAAGATTGACTACATGAAAAGCCCAACAAACAACTCCTAAAACTAATAAGTAAATATAGCAAGGTTGCAGAATACATCAACATATAAAAATTAATTGTATTTCTATATACTAGCAATGAACATGTGGATACTGAAATTAAAATATAATACTATTTGTAATTGCTCCACAAAAATACTTTGGTGTGACTCTGACAATACAGGTACAGAACTTATATGATGAAAACAAGACAGTGCTAATGAAAGACATCAAAGAAGATCTAAATAAATGAAGAGGCATAGCATGTTCATGCATTAGCAGACTCAGTTGTAAGGACACCAGTTTTCCACAAATGGGACACAGTTTTAACATTATTACTATCAAAATCCAAGCAAGTTTGTTGTTGTTGTAGATGCAGACAAGCTTATATTAACATTTGTTTGGAAACATACACGCCCTAGAAATACCCAAAAAGTTTTGAAACAGTTCCACTGGATCTTTCACTGTCTTTGTAGTTTTACCTTTTATAGAACGCCACTTAGGCAGGGCACGGTGACTCACACCTGCAATCACAGCACTTTGGGAGGCCGAGGTTTTTGCAGTTTTGAATAAAGCTGCTATGAACATTCATGTGTAGGTTTTTTTTGTGTGTATATAAGTTTTTAACTACTTTTGGTATATACCTAGGAGTAAAATGGCTGGGCCATATGGTAAGGAAGCTTCGAAGGAACTACCAGATCATCTTCCAAAGTGGCTGTATTCAAAAGCAGTAAATGAGAATTCCTGTTTTTCCACATCCATATTCTTGTCAGCATTTGATACTGTCAGGTTTTTGGATTTTAGCCCATCTAATAGGTGTACAGTGGTTTCTCATTGTTTTTATTTAGTTGTTTATTTATATATTTATTTATTTTAGAGATGGGGTCTTACTCTGTAGCCCAGGCTGGAGTACAGTGGTATGATTATGGCTCACTGCAGTCTCCAACTACTGGATTCAAGTGGTTCTCCTGCTTCTGCCTCTCAAGTAGCTGGACTACAAGGCACATGCCACCATGCCCAGCTAATTCCCGTTGTGTTTTGTATTTGTAATTCCCTAATGACACATGACATAGAGCATCTTTCCATATGCTGTACATCATATGTCATTAGGGAATTACAAATTCAAAACACAAAAAGATGATGTAAAGCATCTTTTCATATGCTTATAGTCACATGTATATCTTCTTTGGTGAGGGCTCTGTTCAAATATTTTGTCCATTTTTAAACGGGGGTGCTTATTTTCTTATTTTTGCATTTTAAGAGTTATTTGTATATGTTGAATACAAGTCCTTTATCAGAAAAGTTATTTGCAAATATTTTCTCCAAGTCTGTAGGTTTTCATTCTCTTAACAACAATGTTCTCAGAGCAGCAATTAAAAATTTCTGTCTTGATTCTTTTTTTTATTTTTGCATGTGTAAAATGCAAAACTTCCTGAGCAGCTGGGACTACAGGTGCATTTATTGAAGACTAATATTTTTCTATTCAATTGCCTTTGCTCTTTCATCAAAGATCAGTTAATTCCATTTGTTTGGATTTATTTATGGGCTCTCACCTCTGTTCCTTCAGCAATGTTATGCTATCTTGATTACTGTAGCTTCACAGTAAGTCTCAAAGTTGAGTAGTGTGAGTACTCTGGTCCTACTTGTCTTCAATATTGAATTGGCTATTCTGCATCTTTTGACTTTCCATACAAACTTTAGAATTTGTTTGTCAATATCTGCAAAATAACTTGCTAGAATCATTATCGGGATTAAGTTGAATCTATAGATTGGGAAGAGCTAACACATTAATGTTGAGTCTTCCTACTCATGAACATGGAATTTATCTCCATTTATTTATTTAGATTTTTTATTTCTTATATCAGAGTTTTGTAGTTTCCCTCATATAGAATTCGTATTTTGTTAGGTTTATACCTAAGTATTTTGATTATTGGTATTTATGTAAGAGGCGTTACATTTTCAATTTCAAATTCCAATTGTTCATTTTTGGTTTATAGAGAAGCAATCAACTTTTGTATATTAACCTTATATTCTGCAATGTAACTATAATAACTTACTAGTTCTCAGAGTTTTTTTGTTGATCCTTTGGGATTTTATACAAAGACAGTCATGTTCATCTGCAATTTTTTAAACTTTTATTTCCTTCTGTCTTATTGTGTTAGCTAAGACTTGTACAATATTGAACAGGAGTAATGACAAGAGACATCCTTGCCTTTTCCCTGATATTAGGGGAAAAGCATCTAATTTTTTACCATTAAGTACTGTATGATGTTAGCTGTGGAATTATTGTAGATGTTCTTTATCAATTAAAAAAGTTCCCTTCGGAACGATCCAAGATGGCCGATCGCTAACATCCTGGGATTGCAGCTCTCAGGGAAGGCACGGAGAACTAGAGGACGCCACACTTTCAGACAAAGTCTGGTCGCTCACGGAGCAGAAGATCCCCCAGTGGTGGAAACACACTAGTCGCCAGCGCGACTCTTGTGGTCAGCGCAGCGGTTCCGCAGGCAACTAGGCGCGGCAGAGCTCAGCGCAGAGTAAACAGGACCGGTTCCCCTTCTGACCGAGGTTTGGAGCCCCGGGAAGGCAGAGTCACCTACTACGGAAACAAGAAGGAAGCCCGACAGGAGAATCCTGGGCAGAAAAGCACCATCAGTTTTAACGCCGCTGCTCTGGCCCTGGGAACTAACAACCTGGACGTCCACTCAAGAGACCTAATCTGAAAGTTGGTAATTTCAAAGACGACAGGAGGATAAATTTACAATGACGGGAAGAAACCAGCATAAAAAAGCTGAGAATACGCAAAGTCAGAACGCCTCTCCCTCTAAAGATGATCACAGTTCCACATCAACAATGGAACAAGGCTTGATGGAGAAAGAGCGCATCCTGATGACAGAATCACTCTTCAAGGAATGGATAATAACAAACTTCGGTGAGTTAAAAGAACATGTTGTAGCCCAATGTAAAGAAACTAGGAACTTTGAAAAAAGGTTTGATGAAATCCTATTGAGAATAGACAACTTAGAGAGGAGTATGAGTGAAATAATGGAACTGAAGAATACAATACAGGAACTCCGAGAAGTATGCACAGGTTTAAACACTCGAATTGTTCAAGCAGAAGAAGGGATATCAGAGGTCAAAGTCCAACTTAATGAAATAAAACGTGAAGAAAAGATTAGAGAAAAAAGGATAAAAAGGAATGAGCAAAGTCTCCAAGAAATGTGGGACTATGTGAAAAGACCAAATTTACGTTTGGTAGGTGTACCTGAATGCCATGGAGAGAATGAATCCAAGCTGGAAAATACCCTTCAGGATATTATTCAGGAAAATTTTCCTAAACTAGCAAAGCAGGTCAACATTCAACCCCAGGTAATACAGAGAACACCACAAAGATATTCCTCAAGAAGAGCAACTCCAAGGCACATAATCGTTAGATTCACCAGGGTTGAAACGAAGGAGAGGATACTAAGGGCAGCCAGAGAGAAAGGTCAGATAACCCACAAAGGCAAGCCTATCAGACTTACAGCAGATCTCTCAGCAGAAACTCTACAGGCCAGAAGAGAGTGGGGGCCGATATTCAACATCCTCAAAGAACAGAACCTTCAGCCCAGAATTTCATATCCAGCCAAACTAAGCTTCACAACTGAAGGAAAAATAAAATCTTTTATGAACAAGCAAGAACTCAGAGATTTTATTACCACCAGGCCTACTTTACAAGAGCTTCTGAAAGAAGCATTACACACAGAAAGAAACAACCAGTATTAGCCTTTCTAAAAATACACCAAAAAGTAAAGAGCACCAACATAAAGAAGAATTTACACCAACAAATGGATAAAACAGCCAGTCAACATCAAATGGCAGTAACCCTAAATTTAAATTGACTAAATTCCCAATCAAAAGACACAGCCAAAACCCAACAGCATGTTACATCCAGACCTATTTCACATGCAAGGATACACAAAGACTCAAAACAAAGGGATGGAGAAAGATTTACCAACCAAATGGAGAGCAAAAATAAATAATAAATAAATAAAAAGCAGGAGTTGCAATTCTTGTATTGGATAAAATAGATTTTAAAGCAACAAAGATATAGTGGTAAAAGGATCAATGCAACAACAAGAGCTAAAGATCCTAACACCCAGATACACAGAGACTTAGATTCAATGAGACAGAAAATTAATAAGGATATCAAGGACTCGAACTCAGATCCAGAACAAGTAGTAAACTTAATAAATATTTATAGAGCTCTCCACTTCAAATACACAAAGTATACATTCTTGTCAATACCACATCACACCTACCCATTAGTTTAAATGAAACATTGATTGGCATTATTAATACCCAATTTTTTTCTAAATAAAGCAATATTTCCATTTACTCTCCCTCTTTCTCTTCCTCTTTCTTCCTCTCCTTTACTTATTTTTTTTTTTCTTTCCTTCTCTCAAAAAAAAAGAAATCAACTTGTAAACCTCTAGATCCAGGTCGGCAATGTCTCTTTCATTGCTTGATTTCCTTTCTTCCCTTCCCTCCCTCCCTCCCCGCTTCCTCCCTTCCTTCCTTCCTCCCTTCCTTCCTCCCTACCGTCCTTCTTCCCTTCCTTCCTGCCTTCTTCCCCCCCCCAAAAAAAAGTTCCCTTCTATTCCTAGTTTGCTGAGAGTTTTTATCATGAATAGATTTGTCAAATGCTTCTTCTAAATGTATTGATATAATCATGATTTTCTTTTTTAACTTAGTTGATGTGATTGATTACATTAATATTCAACCATTAAATAAATATGCATATCTGGAATAAATCCCATTTGGTCATGTTGTATTTTTTTCATACAGTGTTGGATTTGATTTGCTAACATTTTTATTATGGATAAAAGGGGCATTACATTACAATGGAACGTGAGATAGTAAAGGAATTTTTTATATATAATAAGAGGTTCAATCAATAAAAATATTTTATTCAAAAAACAGTCTAATATCTGAATTTATATGATTTCAAAATGAAGTTGATTGTAGTACAGACTGCTATGGCCTTTATCCGCCTGCACTTTTACATGTTCTCATGGTTACAATATCCAGCAAAAAGAGGTTGTGCAGCTATTCCACGTGTGACCATTCTGCAGCGTTGCCCTGTCACTCTGTCATAGGCATCATCCATATTTCTGACATCTTTGGAACTCCAGAGTCTCTCACCAACAGCACTTGCCCGAGGCCATAATCTTGGAGTGAGGTTAGTTGCATCCACATATTCTCCTCATAGACAAGCTTCTCCACCAATGACAAGTCGTTTCTGTTCCTGAGTACCACCAAAATCAGGAGGTTCCACTTTATAGTATTTCCTCAAATCTTGTCCATAATTAATTGTACCAAGGAGCAGAAAGGATTACAGGGAAGCCAGACACTGTGACTCTACTGAGTTCCTCAGGATACCCGCTGTCTTTCCACATTTCAACTATTGTGCCCGGCTCAAGCTTCACTTTATCATCAAAAACCTCCTGCCAGACAATGGATCCCTTGTTTATGGTTGCAATAATATAGAAAAGCTTTTGAATGTAGAAAGATTCTAGCTTTTTAAAATCTGGCCAAGGCCTTTTTGCCTCAGGAAATCTTGAATTTTTGGATTTGATTCCCAACACTTAAATTCCACTTCATCTCCTTCCAAATGAATGAATTGATTTGGAAACGCCTCACTAATTTCTTCAAAAAATGCAGTAAGGAAGCTGCATGTTGTATTCAGAGTAGGGTTTATAGGTCCAAAGGAGACCAACTTGTTTTTTCTACTCTAACATGGAGTCAGGAGGTCTTTCTGACATTTTCCCCAAGATAGCGTATGTCCAGGGGTTTCAAATTCTGGCAGGACTGGAATTCCTCATAATCTGGCATATTCAATCACTGTATGGACATCATTTGGTGTATAACCCGGAGATAAAGAATAGCTTTCTTTATTGCTTAACTCAGGAAAAGCAATGCTCTGATAGGGGAAAGACTGGTCATCAACTATGTGCCAGTGAACACATTAAACTTATTCAAAGCCATGGCGTCCAGAGTTTTAAGAAGAATCTTAACTGGCAGATAGTGTCTGGATGCATCAATTGAAATTCCTCTATGAGAAAACCTTGGAGAATCAATAATGGTGGATCCACTGATGGTGAAAATCCCTTAAGAATCTTGATAAATTAACTGGCAAACCAAACTCTGTTTGCTCCCCAAACTCTGTTGGCCTTAAGGACAGCCACTGGTTCTTTCATAAGTAAAGAATAGGACTCATCTGCAGATATGTTGGGGAAAGCATCACACTCTGACTGAAGGGTGATAGAGACAAGAAGTTGCTGAAGCTGGATTCTAGCCTGGAATTCAGCAGGTTCGTGATGCCACTTGTAGAAACCAAAAATACAGTTTATAGAACTACTCTATGGTCAAAAGGAGCATGATCCCTGTGACAAAGGGATCTATACTTTGAGAAGACATAACAAGCTTGGCATCGTGGCTCACGTCTGTAATCCTAACATTTTGGAAGACTGAGGCAGGAGGATCACTTGAGTTCAAGGGTTCGAGACTAGCGTAGGCAACACAGTGAGATCCTGTCTCTACAAAAACAAAAAATTTAAATTGGCCAGACATGGTTGTGCCTACCTGTAGTCCTAGTACTTAGAAGGCTGTACTGGGAGGATTGCTTGAGCTTGGGGGGCGGGTCAAGGCTGCAGTGAGCTGTGGTTGCACCACTGCACTCCTGTCTGGGTGACAGAGTGAGACTGTCTCAGAAAAAGGGAGAGAAGACATGAAAATTATTATATTTCATTGAAGATTTATGAATTGCAAATAAGCACATGAAAAGATGCTGAGCATCATTAGGTATTACAAAAATGCCAACTAAAATTACACCTGTCAAGATGGCTAAAATTAATAGTGACAACAAATGCTGATGAGCATGTGGAAAAACTTGGTCACTCATCCATTGCTGGAATGTAAAATGGTACAGCTTTGTGGAAAATACTTTGTCATCTTGAGAAAACTCCACATAAGACCCCAGTAATTGCCCTCTTGGAAATTTATTCCACAAAATCAAATGCTTATGTTCAAACAAAAATTTTAATTTCAGGGTTTAACTGTAATCACAGAAAACTGAAATTAGCCCTGATGTCCTGAGTAGATGAATGGTTAAATAAACAGTGCAGAAACCCATGAAATACTCATTAGCAATAAATAAATAAAAAATAGTGAAGTAATAATACACACAACAACTTGAATTAACTCCAGATAATTATCCTGAGTGAAAAAGAAAATTTCAGTAGGTTAGGTAGGCATGGCATTAACATTAACATTGTTGAAATGAGAAAATTACGGAAGTGGAAAACAGATTGGTGGTTAGCATGGGTTAAGAAAGTGAAATGGTGAAAGGCAAGTGGCGTGGCCATATGTGAGTAACACAGCTCTGCTTAAGTAGAATACACATTTTCTCAAGTTGATGTGGAACATTCTCCAGGGTACAGCATATGCCAAGCTGTAAATCAAACCTCAGTAAATGTAAAGGGTAAAAATAATACAAAGTATTTTTTAAAACACGATGGAATACAATTAGATCAATAACAGAAGAAAAGTTGGAAAGTTGGGAAATTCACAAAGGTGTGGAAATTTAACAGCACACTCTAAATGACCAATGGGTCAAAGAAGAAAATAAAAGGGAAATTAGGAAATACTTTGTGTGGCCGGGCGCAGTGGCTCACACTTGTAATCCTAGCATTTTGGGAGGCCAAGGCAGGTGGATCACCTGTGGTCGGGAGTTCGAGACCAGTCTGACCAACATGGTGAAACCCTGTCTCTATTAAAAATACAAAATTAGCTGGGTGTGGTGGTGCACGTCTGTAATCCCAGCTACTCAGGAGGCTGAGGCAGGAGAATCACTTGAACCCAGGAGGAGGTTGCAGTGAGCCAAGATTGAGCCATTGCACTCCTGCCTGGGCAAAAAAAGATCAAAACTTTATCTAAAAAAAAAAAAAAAAAAAATTAGCCAGGCCGTGGCATATGCCTGTAATCCCAGCTACTTGAGAGGCTGGGGCAGGAGAATTGCTTGAGCCAGAGAGGCAGAGGTGAGCTGAGATGATACCACTGCACTACAGCCTGAGTGACAGAGCAGAACTCCGTCTCAATAAATGAATGAATGAATGAATGAACAGAAAAGAAAATAGTTTGAGATAAATACAAATGAAAACACAATATACCAAAACTCATGGGATCCTGCTAAGGCAGTGCTCAGAGGGAATTTATAGCTTTAATCATGTAACCTTCTACTTAAGACACTGAAAATGAAGGCCAAACTACACCTAAAGCCAGCAGAGGAAGGAAGGAAATAGAAAATAGGAAAACAATACAGAAAGGAAACCAAAAGCTGGCTATTTGAAAAGATCAACAAAATTGACAAACCTTGCTATATTGGCCAAGCAAATGAGAGAAAACTAAAATTATTAGATCAGGTGTGAAAGAGAGGACGTTACTATCCACCTTACAGAAATGAAAAGGGTAATAGCTGGGTATGGTGGAGCACACCTGTAGTTCCAGCTACTGGGGATGATGAGGTAGGAGGATTGCTTGAGGCCAGGAGTTAAAAGGCCAGCCTGGGCAACCAATCTTAAAAAAAAAAAGAAAGGATTATAAAGAAATATTATGAAAAAAATTAAAACAAAAGAAATATGTGGAGAATGAGGGTTAAAAATTATATGTAGAGAATCAGGGTTAAAAAAAGGAGAAATACTATCAACAATTGTAGCTTAGATGAAATGAACAAGACTGGGCGTGGTGGCTCATGCCTGTAATCCCAGCACTTTGGGAGGCCAAGGCACGTGGATCACCGGGGTTCGAAGTTCAAGACCAGCCTGGCCAACATGATGACACCCCATCTCTACTAAAAAATACAAAAAATTAGCCAGGCTTGGTGGTGGGCACTGTAATCCCAACTATTCGGGAGGCTGAGGCAGGAGAACTGCTTGAACTCGGGAGACAGAGGTTGCAAGTGAGCCAAGATAGGATCATTGCACTCCAGCTTGAGTGACAGAGAGAGACACCATCTAAAAAAATAATAATAATAATTAAGTAGAATTAGAGGGGAATTTCCTCAACCTGATAAAGGTCATCTGTGAAAAGCCCATAATTAGTATAATACTTAATGGTGAAAGACTGGATGCTTTCCTCCTGAAATCAGTATTAAGACAAGAATGCCCACTCTTAGCACTTGTATTTCATATTGTACTAGAGGTTTTGGCCAGAGCAATTAGGCAAGAAAAAGAAAAGGCATCCAGAAAAGAAAATAAGTAATACTATCTCTATTCAAAGATGACATGATCTTGTATAAAGAAAATTCTTGAGTCCAGGAAAAAACTACTAGAACTAATAAATGAGTTCAGTAAGATTGCAGGATACAAGATTAATATACAAAAATCAATGTATTTTTATAAACTTGTAATGAATGATCTGGAAGTGAAATTTAAAAAACATTTCCTTAACCAGGTGTGATGTGTGCACCTGTAGTCCCAGCTATTCAAGAGGCTGAGGCAGGAGGATTGCTTGAGCTCAGGAGTTCGAGAGTAGCCTGGGCAACATAGCAACATTCTTATCTTTTGAAAAAATAAAACACTTCCACTTAGAATAGCCTCTAAAAGAATAAGATACATGGGAATGGATTTTACAAAAGAACTACAAAACATGTTCTGGAAACTTCAAAACATTGTTGAAAGAAATTAGAGAAAACCTAACTAAATGGATAGATGTTTATGTTCATTGATTGGAAGACCTGTTAATAAGATAGCAATACTCCCCAGATTATAGATTATCACAGCCCCTAGAATTACAGATTCCTTTACAGAAATTGACAAATTAATCCTAAAATTTGTAAGGAGACTTAGAGGCCCCAGAATAGCAAAAACAACCTTGAAAATAACAACTTGGTTGGAGGACTCACACTTCCTTATTTCAAAACTTTCTATAAAGCAACAGTAATCAAGACAGTGTGCCACAGACATATATTTCAATAGAATACAACTGAGAGTCCAGAAACAACCCATGTGTCTGTGGTCTCCTGATTTTCAAGAAGGGTGCCAAGCCCATTCAATGGGGTAAAAATAGTCTTTCAACAAATGATGCTGGGACATCCGGATGGCCACACGCAAAATAATGACGTTGAACTCTTCACATCACATACAAAACCTTAATGAACCTGTGTTCTCAATGTAAAAGCTAACATTATCAAACTCCTAATAGAAACCTAAGGGTGAATTTGTATCAACTTGGATGTGGTAGTGATTTCTTTTTTTTTTTTTTTAGAGACAGAGTTTCACCCTTGTTACCCAGGCTGGAGTGCAATGGCGTGATCTCGGCTCACCGCAACCTCCGCCTTCTGGGTTCAGGCAGTTCTCCTGCCTCAGCCTCCTGAGTAGCTGGGATTACAGACACACGCCACCATGCCCAGCTAATTTTTTGTATTTTTTTAGTAGAGACAGGGTTTCACCATGTTGATCAGGATGGTCTTGATCGCTTGACCTTGTGATCCACCCGCCTCTGCCTCCCAAAGTGCTGGGATTACAGGCTTGAGCTACCGTGCCCGGCCAAGTGATTTCTTAAATGTGAGACCAACAGTGGGAGCAACAAAAGAAAACATTCAGATAGGGTCTGTCTGTCACCCAGGATGAAGTACAGTGGTGCCATCATGGTTCACTGCAGCCTCAACCTCCCAGGCTCAAGTGATCCACCCTGCTTAGCCTCCACCACCATGCTGGATAATTCATTTTTTTATAGAGATGGGGTCCCATTATGTTGTCCAGGCTAGTCTCAAACCCCTGGGCTCAAGTGATCCTCCTGCGTTGGCCTCCCAAAGTGTTGAGATTACAGGCACGAGCCATGGCACCCAGCTGATAAGGAATATTTTTATGTAGAATGATAAAAACTCTCACAAACTCAATGATAAAGACAATCCAATTTAAAAGTTGGCAAAGGATCCAAATAGACATTTCTTCATATAAGACACACAAGTGACTAATAAGCACATGAGAGGTTGCTCAACATATTCAGTCACTAGGGAAATACAAATCAAACCACTCTCAGACATCGCTTTATACACACTATGATGCCTTTATTTAAAACAACCTGATAGCCTGGATGTGGTGGCTCACAGCTGTAATCCCAGTGCTTTGGGAGGCCAAGGCAGGAGGATTGCTTGAGCACAGGAGTTCAAGGCAAGCATGGGCAACAGCAAGACCCTCTTCTTCATAAAAAAATATAAACATGCATACACACATACTTGGCAATAGGAAGTGTTGGCAAAGATGTGGGAAAATTGGAAACCTCATACACTGGTGATATAAATATAAAATGGAGCAGCCATACTGGAAGGCAGAATGACAGTTTGATAAACAGTTATCATACGGCTCAGTCATATGAGTCATAGAGTCATCATAGGACTGAGCAATTCCACTCCTAAGCCTATATATTACATATCCAAGATAAATGAAAACACATTTCCACATAAAAACTTACACACAAATGTTTATAGTACCATTATGCATAATTCTCAAAAGGTGGAAACAATCCAAATGTCCATAAACAGAAGAACAGGTAAACAAAATGATGCATACAACGGAATATTATTTGGTCATAAAAAGAAGTGGAATAGTACCAGCTACAACATGGATGAACCTTGAAAATAATTATGCTAAGTGAAAGCAGCCAGACAAAATAGCAATATTCTGTGATTCCATTTCTATGAAATGTTCTGAATAAGCAAATCTGTAGAAATGGAAAGCAGATTGGTGGTTGCTTCAGAATAATGGGAATCAGGGGACAGGGCATGATAAAGTGTGTGGGGTTTCTTTTTGAGGTGATGAAAAGATTCTAATAATGGCTGTGGTGATGGCTGCACATATGACGTAACTACACTGAAAACCATTAAAGTGTAAACTGCATGCTGTTAATTATTTCAGTAAAGCTGTGTTTTTTTAAGTGCATCATAAGCATGAGCCATCCTTTTTTTTTTTTTTTTATTTGAGACAGAGTCTTGCTCTGTTGCCCAGGCTAGAGTGCAATGGCATGGTCTCGGCTCACTGCAACTTCTGCCTCCTGGAGTCAAGCAATTCTTCTGCTTCAGCCTCCTGAGTAGCTAGGACTACAGGCATCTGCCACCACGCCTGGCTATTTTTTTAAAAATTATTTTTAGTAGAGGCAGGGTTTCACCATGTTGGTCAGGCTGTTCCTGAACTCCTAGCCTCAAGTGATCCACCCGCCTTGGCTTCCCAAAGTGCTGGGATGACAGGCGTGAGCCACCACGCCCGGCCTGAGCCATCCTTCTCTGAGGAAAATGTACTCTATCTCAGCAAGAAAAACCAACAGCCTTAGGAATAGAGTACGTAGGTTATACGGCAAGTGTATGTTTAATTCTATGAGGAACTATCACACTGTTTGTCAAAGTAACTACTCTAGCTACCAGCAATGCAAGAGTTCCAGTTGCTCCACATCCTCACTAATATTCATTATTGTCTTTTTAAAAAATGTAAGCCATTCAAATAGACGTGTGTTGTTACTCTGTTATTTCTTTTGCTGTATGGAAGCTTTTTAGTTTGTCTAATTTGTCTACTTTTTTGTTGTATTTGCTCTTGAGTTCTGAGTCATAACTTTTTTTGAGACAGTCTTGCTCTGTCAATGCATGCACACAAACACAATGTGCTGGCTTTGTTTGGCATGCACACATCCCTGGGTCTCATCCAGCCACCTGACATCTGAGGGAGGCATGGAGTGGAATGGCTGCTAGGTGGGGAAGCAGCCAGAGATCAGTGATCAGTTGCCCAGGCCTCTGATTCCAAGTCCAGGGCTCCTTCCACACACAGGGTGATGATGACAAAGATCAGAACCCAGGAATGGGTGGTGCTCATCCCTCACTGTGCTTCAAGATTCTGTGATTCTATCTCTTCTCCTGTAGATCAACGTCTGGACCACTTTCTAAGAATATTGCAACTTTCCCGATAATTCTCCAGTATACCCAAGACTGTATATACTGATTTCCTTTCATGAAATTGTCCAGTCAGCTGCAGCCATTGGTGCACAGTATGATCTGGACCTGGAGCATAGCAAGACCAGAACCAAGAACCATGACACCTCACTTGGGAGATCATGTGTGCAAAGTGACATATGATGCTGCATGACCACAGAAGTGACCCCTCTATACTGTGAAATGAATTTCTGCATGGGGGGTATATTAGGGTTCTCTACAGGGACAGAATGAGTAGGATATATAGTTTATAAAGTATTAACTTACATGATCACAAGATCCCACAATATACTGTCTGCAAGCTGAGGAGCAAGGAAAGCCAGTCCAAGTCCCAAAACTGAAGAACTTGGGAGTCTGATGTTCAAGGGCAGGAAGCATCCAGCACGGGAGGAAGATGTAGGCTGGCAGACTAGTCATGTCTCGTCTCTTCGTGTTTTTCTGCCTGTTTTATATTTGCTGGCTGATTAGATGGCACCCACCCAATTAAGGGTGGGTCTGCCTTCCCCAGCCCTACTGACTCAAATGTTAATCTCCTTTGGCAACACCCTCATAGACACCCAGGATCAATATTGCATTCTTCAATCCAAACAAGTCAACACTCAGTATTAACCATGACGGGGGAATCAGATGACACAAAAGATGCCTTCTGGCTCTCATGTTCTGTCACTGCCTACTTCAGGAGAGAGATGCACAGTGTGGGGAGGATGAAAGAAGGAAAGGCAACAGAAATCAGGAGGGTTTGGTATCCAATGCGTGTTCATTTATTTTACACTTACAAAAGAAATTGCCCACCCCTTTGCCCCATTCCCCCAAAACAGTCTCTTTTTACAAACATTTAAAAATTAAAACCAAATGAAGATAGACAAGTTAATTTCAGTACAATTATTTTTCAGTGTAGCTGTCATAATTAGAGTTTAAATTTCCTACAAGTGACCAATGTCCAAGTGACTTATAGGGAAATCCTGATTATCGGCCAAAGGAAATTCCATATTACAAGTTAGCAAATTCTAGTACAAAAATAGTCCATGTGTTGGAACAGCTTTCCTTTTACATAGGTCTCAGGTCAGTCTGCTGACTGCATAATACCTAACGCTTTCAGATTCTCTCTCACAAATGGCTCAATCATCACTGCTGAAGCAGCACTGCGCCTGCAGCAGCAGGGGCTAGTGTCCACCTTGGGGCCGTGCTGGAGACAGCAGACCTGGAAATGCCTTGCTGGCCCCAGGGCACCTGGGCAGAGCTCCAGCCCCAGCTCCGCATAGGGGACCTGGAGGGAGGGACGAGCTTCCCCTTCCAGAGGCAACGTCAGGCCCAGGACACAGGGCACATCTGCCCAGAGAGCTGGGCTGGCGCTGGTGTAGGACAGCACATCTCCTGCCAGTGTCTTCTTCCTCTGCAGCCTGGCCAGGTGAGAGGAGGCCCTGCGTGTCATCAGTGGCAAGAGTGTGGCCCTGCCCTTGCTGCAGCCAGGGCAGGCTGGGGCAGTCTACTTGTCCCTCAGGATGTCGAGCTGTTCCTGACACTCCGTGAAGAGGCGCTGGAATCGGAGGTTCTGCCCGATGACTGGCAGCAGCTCCTTCAGCAGCTCCCTCTTCCGCAGACCCTGTGGACACAGAGTGACAGCTGAGTGCAACTGTCAGTGAGGACACCTAGATTGTGGGGACATTCCTGGCCTGGAAGAGAACCTTGTGTCTGCCCATGGAAGAGAGAAGAACCAGTTCCTCTGCAGGTGATAAACTGTGAGAGAGCTGTGGGGCAAATGCCAGGATAAAGTGGCAGGTAGAGTGGAAGCAACACAGTATGGGAATAGAGGATGAGGCAGTGCAGGGTCTGCTCCTCCATATGTGGGCACAGTCACTGCTGATCTTATAGTGACTGGGAAGTGGCCTGAGCATCCAGGGCAGGATGAGAGTAGAACATCAAGACTGAGGGTCAGGTGGCTGGCCATTCAGGAGGGGCTGTTCCCTCATGCTGATGTTTGCCAGGGATTTGGGGTAAAGCCCCAGGGTAAGGACATGCCTGAGGCCCAGTGGCCAGCTTTGGTTTTCCAGCAAGATAAATGAGGTGCCAGTATCCCGATGTTGGGGATGTTTGGACATTGCCCAAATTAGGTTTAGTTGCCCAAACATCCTCCACATCAGGGCACAATGGCACCGCAGTTTGAAACAAGCATTGCCTGGTGGGGGGTCTCTGCTGCACAGACCAAAAGAGCAGACTCCTGAGCAATACGGCTGGTCCAAAGGGAAAACTATCAGCCAGACAACTTAAACAAGTTGTCTGGAAGAGAAGGCCTAAGATCTTGAATTAACAGTGACAGATACACTTGCAACAACACTAGAAGTGACAACAAAGAACAAGTGTAAACATAGGTTTGAGTAACACAGAAGTTGCTAGAGATGGGAGAAGCAGGAGAAAGGGTGCCGTGACGACCAAGTCTGATGGAGGAACAGCCCATGCTCCAACAGGGAGGCTCTGACACCAGAGTGCCGCAGTCACAACAGAGACTGTATGGATTTGCAAAGCCTGAAATGTTTACTATCTAGTTCTTTACAGAAAAAGTTTGCCAACTCCTAAAACAGATAATGTTTTCTGACTAAAATAATTGAGTAAAATTCATGGGTCAAAGGGAAAATTAATTCTAATTAAGTGAAATTAAAAATGACTTACAAGAGAATGGTAATAAAAACACAAAATACTCCAAAACTGATGAGACTGAGCAAAAATGGGCACTTTAGAGGCATTTGGAAACAAGAGCTTATACTATATTAAATAACATGAAAGAATGAAAAACCAAGACTCCAACCAAAAGGCATCAGGGAAAACGAAAAAAAAAAAAGACTAAAGGAAAAGAGGATATCATCAGAAAAAAAAATTTTTTTAAAGGAGATAATAAAAATTGAAAAACAAAGATTTATTGTAGAAGATTTATAAAAACAATCTTTTTTTTTTTTTTTTTTTTTTAGACAGGGCCTAGCTCTGGTGTCCAGGCTGGAGTGTAGTAGTGCAATCATAGCTCACTGCAGCCTCAACCTCCCAGGCTCGTGATCCTCCTTCCTCAGCTACCTGAGTAGTTGGGACTATAGGTGTGTGACACCATGCCTGGTTAGTTTTTATATTTTTAGTAGAGACAGGCTTTCACCATGTTGGCCAGGCTGGTCTCAAACTCCTGAGCTCAAGCGATCCTCCTGCCTTGTTCTCCCAAAGTGCTATGATTAAAGGTGTGGCCCACTGTGCCTGGCAAAAGTCATTTCTTGAAAAGACTAAAGGACAAATCTCTAGCAAGATTAATCAAGAAAGAGAGGGAAAGCTTAAAGAAATAATATAAATAAAAAAGAGGTGGGTGGTGGGGTTGAAAAGAAAAAAAATTAAAAATTAAAAATAAATAAAAAAGATATAACTACAGATATAGAAGAAAAAGGTATGATTACTATCAACTTTATGCTAAGAACTTTGAAAATTTTGAGAAAATGCATAAATTCCTAGAAAAATGTAATTTATCAAAACGATCTCAAAAAGAAATAGAAAGAGTTAATTACCACAAAGAAAACATCAGGTATACTATTTTAAAACTAACATCTAAGAAACTTCCAAGGATAAGATTTTCTCTTTGTCTTTCCTCTCCCACAATTTGACTGTGGGAGTCAGTGCAGGTTCTTTTGGGATTTTCCTACTTAGAGTTCATTGAGGCTTTGTATTCGTAGATCCATGTCTTTCCTCAAATTTGGAAAATTTCAGCCAGTATTTCTTCAAATAAGCTTTCTACTCCTTTATCTCTCTTATGCTTCCAGAACTTCCATCACGGATACATGGGTACACTTGGATGGTGTCTGATAAGTCCCTTAGGCTCTGTTTGCTTTTCTTCATTCTATTTTCTTTTTCTTCCTCATACTCGATAATTTCATATGATCTGTTTTCAAGTCTGCTGATTCTTCCTTTTGTCTGCTCGAGTCTGCTGTTGAACCCTTCTAGCGAACTTTTCAATTCAGTTGTTGTATTTTTAATCTCCCGATTTCTGTTTAGCTCTATTTTTGGAATTTCCATCTCCTTGCTGATACTGTCATTTTGCATTTTGTTCATATATTTTTTTCCTGATTTTGTTTAGTTGTCTGTATTTTCCTTGAGCATTTTTAAAGACATTTACTTAAAGTCTTATGTCAGCCAGGCATGGTGGCTCATGCCTGTAATCCCAGCACTTTGGGAGGCTGAGGCAGGCAGACTGCTTGAGGACAGGAGTTTGAGACCAGCCTGGCTAACATGTTGGAATCTTATCTCTACTAAGAATACAAAAATTAGGCCTGGTGCAGTGGCTCAGCACTTTGGGAGGCTGAGGCAGGTGGATCTCTCGAGGTCAGAGTTTGAGACCAGTCTGGCCAACATGGCGAAACCCCATCTCTACTAAAAATCCCAAATCAGCCAGGCATCATGGTGCATGTCTATAATCCCAGCTACTCGTGAGGCTGAGGCAAGAGAATCATTTGAACCCGCAAGACGGAGGTTGCGGTGAGCCAAGATTGTGGCACTGCAATCCAGCCTGGGCAACAAATGTAAAACTCTGTATAAAAAAAAAAAAAAATTAGCTAGGCCTGACTTCAGGTGATCCACCTGCCTTGGTCTCCCAAAGTGCTAGAATTACAGGAGCCACTGTGCCTGGCTGTCCTTTTACTTTTAAGCTATCACGTTATTATATGTAATCTGGGTTTCTCATACGTAGCATACAGCTGGTTGTTTTTAAATTTAATCTGATAATCTATGCCTTTTAATTTAAACTTATATTTAATGATTAATGACATATTAGGGTTTAAATCTACCATCCTGACTACGTATCTGTTTTTCTGCCTTTTGAATGAATTTATTATTTTTATCATTCCATTTTGTTCATTTGTTTTTTTAACTATGATTCTTTTTACTGTTTTGGTATTTGTATGTGTATGAGTTTTGTTTTTTGGTCTTGGTGGTTGCTCTAGGGCATATAACATATGTCTTTACTTATCATAGTTTGTTTTCAAGTATTATGTTACCACTTTGTATAATGTATAAATGTTTATTTTATTTATTTATTTATTTATGGAGACGGAGTCTCGCTCTGTTGTTCAGGCTGGAGTGCAGTGGTGCGATTTTGGCTCACTGCAATCTCCACCTCCCAGGCTCAAGCAATTCTCTTTCCTCAGCCTCCCAAGTAGCTGGGACCACAGGTGCAGGCCACCATGTCCTGCTAATTTTTTTTTCTTTTGTATTTCAGTAAAGACAGCGTTTCATCGTGTTGCCTGGGCTGGTCTCAAACTCCTAGATGCAGGCAATCCACCCACCTTGGCCTCCCAAAGTGTGGGATTACAGGGGTGAGCCACTGTACTCGGCCAAAAATCTTTTAATGATATACTTTCATATCCCCACTCCTGGTCTCTGTCATGCCACTTCACTTCTACATATGTTATAGTTACACACTACATTTTCATTATTTGGCTTAAAAAGATAGAACTTTTTGACTTTTTTTCTTTTTTTTGAGACAAGGTCTCACTCTGTTGCCCAGGCTAGAGTGCAGTGGCATGATCTCGGCTCACTGCAACCTCCACTTCTCAGGTTCAAGTGATTCTTGTGTCTTAGCCTCCTGAGTAGCTGGGATTACAGGCATGTACCACCACACCTGGCTAATTTTTGTATTTCTAGTAGAGACGGGGTTTTGCCATGTTGGCCAGGCTGGCCTCAAATGATGTGTCCATGTCAGCCTCCCAAAGTGCTGGGATTACAGGTGGGAGCTACCATGCCCAGTTAGAACTTTTTTTAATTCTTAACCCTTTGGAGGTGTATTTTTATGAACTGAAGATCTACTTTTACTTAGTTAGATATAGATAACCAGTTTTTCAAACTCCATCTATTGAATAGCCCCCATTTTCCCCAATGTATCAGTTTTGTCTTCTCTCCCATATAGCAAAGTGTGGGTCTAAATTACTCCTGCTTCATGATAAACCCAAATATCTGCTGGCATAGTGAATGTCTTAACTATTTGTGGCTTTTTACTCCTCCACATAAATTGTATAATTAGCTTGTCAAGTTTCATTGAAAGCAGGCATCTAATTAGAGATGCACTGAGTCAGTAGGTCTATTTAGAAATGATTGGTGTCTTTACGGTACTGCACTTTCTCATCATTTATCCAGGTTTTAATGACTTTAAGTAAACGTTTATAATTCTTAGCATATAGGCTATGCACATCCTTTGTCAAATTTATTATTACTTTATAATTCTCAGAAGAAACAATCTTAAAAGCAGCAAAAGAAAAGTGACTCATGAGAGAGATTTGAAGTTTGTGAAGAACTACACCCACAATTGCTGGCTTGAAGATGGAGGAGGCATGTGGAAAGCTAAAAAGAAAATGAATTCTACTATTCCAATAATGACTGAACTTGGAAGAGGACCCTGAACCCTAGATAAACTCATCCGGCCAACAGTTTGAGCAGAGAACTCAGGAACCACTGCAAAAGCATACCAGGACAACCGAAATAAATCACAGATCCTTTGAAAGAAGTGACAGTCTGCTGCAAATTCCACAAGACAGGTGAAAAACTCTGGTGCTCTCTTAAAAGTGCCACCTCATGGCTGGAGGCCAA